CAAGGGCCGCGTGCCCGTGGAGGACGAGGCGCCGGCGCAGGGGCAGCCTTGAGATGCGGGCTGTCCAGGCGTGATCGGGGACGCAAGAAGGAAGAGACCCATACCTGGCGAGAGAGACGTGCGAGAGAAGGATACCCCCGAGACCGAATTCTTTTTGTCAAGACGAGATTCTTTCATCTCCTTGTGGACGGGAGTTGAACGCTGTTTGGATAGATGGACACTTGGTAGTAGACACAACTTCTCCTTGACTGTCAGTGCCGACAAAAGCTTGACCTCGATCTCGAAACGTGATGACGTGAAACCAAACGTGGTGAAGTGAAAATTACAAGCACCAGGCCGGGGCCACGGTGCTCTATTAAATTAGTTGGTCTTATCTACTTTCGAAGGCTGTTGCGCCGTGCTCGGCGGCTGCGCCTTGGTCCTCCTCTTGGTGCACAGGTTCCAGACGAGCAGCAGGAAAAAGTTGACAATGTAGGTGCCGACGGCGAGACCGATGGCGCCCATGAGATACCACACCCACGGCCTCTCGCCGATCCACATCATGGCCTGCGTGTCGCCGTGGTGCCACGACTGGCCCTCGAGATCGGTCAGGTACGGCAGCAGCTGGGTGGCGTTGACGACCTGGAACGAGGGCGTCGGCAGCGAGGGGAGCTGGAGGAGGTAGCTCTTGAGGACGAGCGTCAGGAAGAGGGGGCCGGCGGACATCATGACGGCCGTGTGGGGCTGGATGCTCGACCACGGGCGTGTAATCTTGTTGTAGAAGACGAGGCGCTTGATGACGGCCTCGAAGATGGGGTGGCGGGCCGTCGTGATCATCAGGTCGTTCGAGACGCCCGTCGGGCTCGTCGACTTGAAGACGGACAGGTCCTTGCCCCCGGCGGCCTCGATCTGGTGTATGGGGATCGACGCGTTGCACCACGTGTCCATGTCGAGGTAGATGCCGCCGTAGCGGTGCAGGACAAAGTAGCGGAGCGAGTCGGCGTGCTGGATGGGGAAGGGATAGTTGTCCCAGGTGTCGAGAAACCAGGGATACTCGGTGGCGATCAGATCACGCGCCAGCGCGTCGGTCCAGTGCTGTGGCAACAGGGTCAGCATTTTGTCCTTACGGTTCCATGAGGCTCCTGATCTTTTCCATGGCATAGATCAGTTCATGTAGGCGTACCATGTATTCGAAATCGCTGTAGGCGTCCTTGCAGCTCTGTTGCGGCTTGACCCAGTCATCACGGATCTGCTCGGTGGCACTCGTCTGATGCAGAATGCGTGGTATCGCGTGCTGTTGGTAGTGGCCCTCTTTATGTGGTGTCTTCTCGACAGGGAGGGCCAGGCGAGCACCGAATAACCTCTCGTTGTAGAGGAGCAGTGTGATGAGGGGCCAAAAGGCGATGACGAGCAGACCGATGATGGTGAGATCAATCAGCAGCAGCCAGGTCGTGGACTTTTTGGGCCTTGGGAGTCGTAGGCATCTCCTCGATAATGACCATCGTGGGGAGGGTGTGTCGAACTCGCCGAGCAACTCGAGTCGCTCCTCGTCATAGGGCTGATGGTGGGTGCCGCTGCCGCTCGCATGGCTGCTGCTGCTGCTGCTGCTGCTTCGCGTGCTGCTGCCAGCACGCCCACTGCCGCGATGTGGTGATGTGTTTGTGTTCATGGTGATCCTGGCTGGTGGGAGAGGGCGGGGGGGAAGACCGCTTGATCGATCTGTCAAGAGACGATGGCAAGAAAACCCGAACAGTCGATACGCCGTCCCCCTGGCGTCCGGCCGACTTGGCGGATGTGCGGGCTTTTGAATGAACCTGCGTGGGCTGCTGGGGGGGGCGGCGGCATTTGCTGGTGCTCGAGGAGGGTCGCAAGTCATTACGGCTGGGCGGCGTCAGGGAGTGGGCGGCCCTGGTCATGTCATTGGACACCGAGATGAGGCCCCCACCAGGGAGAGATGGCACTTGGTGATGCCGCCGTGCGGTACGTACCGCAGGTCTCTCACGTCTACGTACCTGACCTAGGTACCTACCTAGGTACCTAAGGTAGGTAGGTACCCACCATAGGTGCTCAGGTACTGACTGCACTGTACAGAGGCTATCCCCAGGTCATACACCGCTTACATGCAAGATCACAGACACACGTTGGCCCATTGCTTCGACTCCTGGAGCTAGGCCCCTTGAGGCCAAGCGCCATGCCCGGCCTGCTCGACTAGTGCACTTGACTACTGGGTCAAGCCTGTTTTTTGCAATGATCAGCCCCAAAGCGCATGTCAGGTCTCTGCATTTGCTGTGCTGCGCCCTGGCCGTCGGCTGCAGTCCAACGTCAGCACACAGGGGGCTCAGCACTCCAGCAACCACTCCAGCGACCAGTAACCGACGCCAAGCAGCGAGCGCCCGACAGCACTGTATTGACTTCTGGCGGGTTTAATGCATAATCCTGCCCCAGCAAAGGCCCCCCGACCCTACCCAATCCCCACTGCCGACCCGTCTGCCCCCTTTGATAATTTCCCGCTATTGGGATTTTCCACCCCAGTGCCCGGCTTCTCCGGCCGCTATCTCGATCCTCTGTGTTCAGGGCAGTCCAACGCTCAGTCCAAGGCACGCGACTCCTGCCCACCCACTCCCACTTGGCGTACCACCCGCGTTCGTTCGACACACTTTCGAGGCTAGACATTTTTCCTTCATCCCCTGAGAACCTTACCGTTGCAGTGGCAGGAGTCGAGCAGCACACGACAGCGGCAGACGGCGTCGGACGGTTCAAAACACTCTACCTTGACCCAACGGCCACTCGACACGCGACACACGATCATCATGGCGAAAGCAGCTGAGCCTGATCTGGGTGCGCCCCAGTTCGCTTCCCATGCCGTCGTCGAGCCTTTCGTAAGGCGCCCGCTCTCCTTCCTCTCGAGACTGTTCCGACAGGGGAATGTTGAAGAGAAGCAATTGGCTTCGGCTAACAAGAAGCAATGGCTAACGTTATACCGTCTCCCTTAGATTATCGTTGGCATCATGGTAGCCTCTTGCTACATCAACCGTCGCCGTGGCTTCACCATCATTCCCTCCTCAAAACCCGATGACCAGGGCCTGCTGGGCCAGAAGCTCGAGACGTTGGACGAAGAGGACCCTTTGTCGGAAGACTACGACGATCTCACCTCTTCCGGAACCATTTCTACGAAGACAGGCCCCAAGAAGCGAAACTGCTGCGGCGCCATTGTTCACACACCCGACACGAGCCGTTACGCCAACTACTGGCACAGCCGATTCATTCAAAAGTTCCCCTTCCTCGTCGAGATCTTCTACTGGGCCGTCAACCTCCTGTTCTACGTCAGCGTCAAGGCGGCGAGCGAGCTCATCTTTGCGACTGATGGCGTGTGGAAGACGGCCGAGAGCCACGGCATTGCCGTCCTCAACCTCGAGCACGACAGCATATTCAGCTTCTTGTTCCCCGTCAAGGAAGTTGATGTACAGATGTGGTTCAGAACTGACCACCAGGTCCTGCTGACCATCCTGAACCGGGCGTACTCCTTGATCCACATCCCCGTCACTGTCAGGTACGTTGACAAGAAGCGCAACTCCTCTGGATTCCCGTCTCGTGCTAACCACCGTCCAGCTTCCTTGGATGGTACTACTACGCCGCGCCGACCCACGCCCAGTTCGCCGCCGCCCGCCGCATGATGCAGCTCACGAACCTGTTTAGCTTCATCGTCTTCACGACGTACCCCTGCATGCCGCCGCGTCTGCTGCCCGAGCGCTTCGGCTTCTTCGACACGGTCCGCCGCGAGGACGCCGAATCCATTTACGCCACGAACAAGTTCTTCAACCAGCTCGCCGCCTTCCCCTCGCTGCACTTTGGCTACTCCTTCTGCATCGGCACCGTACTGCTGTACCACTCGGGCATCTTCCGCCGCCGCCTTGCGCCGCGCGAGCGCCGCATGTCCAAGATGTGGCAGGCCTTCTTCGCCATCCTCAGCGTCCTCTACCCGGCCTTTGTCCTGACCATTATCGTCTCGACGGCAAACCACTATTTCTCGACGCCATGGCTGCCACCGGCGTCGTCCTCA